GATATCAATTTGGGAGACTTTTTACTGTCGCTGTTAATTGGACAGGGTTGGATTTTTTTGTGTGTGGGATGTATTTGTGCGAGCGTATTTATGGACAGCACCCGTCTGTTGTCTTGACACCCAGCTACTTGCCAGCAGTGCTAGGTTAGTTCATTAGCAGGCAGAGCTAATAATGAGCGCTTGGATACACTTTGAGCACAGCAGGCCTTCCACCAACACAGCAACAAGGACGACACAAGCTTAAAAAATGTTCATTCTCTATGGGGACATCCTACAGTAAATAAGGAATTATAAAGCACTGTGACAGAAGTCTCCTGTTTGTGTGAAAGTTTGTTTTTGAGGCGCTAAGAGGTTTTGCCACCTCAAATCTGTGGTGCGATTTTCTGCCAAGCTGTTACCCAGAATTTGAGTAAATTACCCACACAGCAGTGATTCCTTCCCGTGGGCCAGCCATTCCATTGTTTATGTTGGCAAGCAAATAAATGAGCCTCTGAACACCCACAAGTCTGACACTGTCATTAGAGCAAACACTGCTGCCCGTTCAAATTGAAGGTGAATAAGTGTTTTTTTCCTGCTGTGTGGGTTGTATGAATGCCTACTGACTGCACATATTTTCATGTGTCAAGTTTTAAGGACCTGGAGCCATCTAGGCATACGTACCTTTTGTTTAATTTCACTGAAGAGAGCTAAAAACAAATATGAACTTCTCATTGTTTTCAGAGATTTTTAACATGAGCTGAGTGTTTGGTTCCCCATACTAGATCTCACTTGGTGAAGATATTAGAGCTAGTGTATATTATGTAACTGCAGATATGTAAAAATACATTGCAGTACAGAAATTCCAAAATATAGATTTGAGATAATTTAAATAACATAGAATACAATGACTTTCTGACAGTATTTTGTTATTAGATTTTTAAAAGCAATCAAATAATAATGTATGTATCCACCTCAAAGATCTGGTCAGGCTATAACAGAACAATTACATTATGAGAGAATGTAAAAAAGGATTTATAAAAGTATAAATTAATAAATTCAACGATACAAGAATGCACAAACGGAGAGACCACAATTCTGTTGATAAAATTAGGTATCGTTTAAACAAATCATTTCACAGAACAGTCTCGAAAGGGACCCCTTTTTGAGGGAGATCTCAAAGAATCTGTGCAGCAACAAGGAGCATGCTAGTAAAACATATTCCTCTTTAATAACATATACAATAATCGGATGTTTATAGCATACCATTGCTTTTTACATATTGTGTTCCGCTCGACATGCAAATGCATGGGTTGCAAAGGTTGAATCAGATTGATATGACTCCGGTTCCTGGGCGACAGTGCTGTGCGTCCTCTGATCAACACTGATAATGTAAAAAAAATGTCGTGCTCACGAGATACTAACCCGTTATCCCGACTTTTATTTTTTTCTCTCTCTCTTTTTTCTTTTCTTTTTCGATGTCCCTTTAGGGGCTCCGTAAAAATAATCTCCTGTAGGAAAGAAAGTGTAAATATAACAATTTAAAACAGCATAAATACTGTGGAATTATTACACATTGCGCAACCTGTTTCTGGTTATTTCTTTATTTTTCCATTGAAATTGTATATTTAATTCTCCTTAATTTACAATTGTATTTATTCAATAATGTATTTCCTTACACAGTTTTGTCTCTTTTAAATGTAATGTGTGCACATGCAAGAGCAGGCTGCAATAATGCAGTAAGGCAGCGATGCTCCACTCCAGTGGGAAGTTGTTGTTTTTCATATTTCATCTCAGGGTGTGGTGAAAGCTAAGCAGGCGTCAAGCTGTCGAAAAGCTACAGAACTCAAATCTCTTTACACTTGTCCTGCTTCCAGTCACTGCCTCGCTCCTGCTAATGTCAGTCACAAAACCAGACAAGCCTCGACTTGACTGCCAAACGCATTCTCCCAGCTACGGTGATTAGTGACAATTCAGACAATAACATCCTTAGCATATAATTGGAGAGCAGCGAAAACTAAGTGACTCTGTCAAAGATAAAACTGGTGACCAGTGGGACATGTGGCATTAAATGTGAAATGAAATCATTAGTTACGCCTAAGCGACTCTCTGCACAGGCAGCAGACAGGACTAAAAAAAGAGCAAACGCATGACACATTATAACCCTCTGCCTCTCAAAGAAATCTTCTAGCAAGGAAAAGGACCTGTGAGTTTTAATGAAGATAATACTGTATGACTTTTAATAAGGGGAGAATCATCTCCTGACTGCTGTTCATCACAGAGGAACGGCCATCCACAATTAACTACCACTCCTAAATTGATACCACATGTGAAACCTGATTATAAAAGAACAGTAGCTTAATAGAAAAAACAGATATTTGCATACATTCCTTGCAGATGCCTCAGGGAAACTGTATAAAGTCATTTAGCCATTCATGTTGCTGCCTTCACATTGGAGGGTTAACCATTCAAACAACATCGCTTAAAAAGGTTAGGAGTAAAATAATCCACATAGCCACATGCTGGCAGGGGCTGAGAAATGTCATCAGCATACTAATTAATACTGCACTGTCTGTTAAGGGTTATTTGGTCAATATATTTCCTCAATTAACCTCTGAGCCAACAAGGCTATATTTGATCTGGCAGGCATGCATTCGTACTGCTAAGATTCCTTAAATACCTCCTGTAACATTAAAGTCCTCAGCAGTCAGACCATAACTGCTCTATAGCAACTGTGTCCATCTGTCAAGCTAGTAAGAATGTCGGTTGAATACAAAAACATAACATAAAAACAAATTCAGGGAAGTGGTTGGAAGCGGTTGACCCAGGTTAACTAACATAATTATTATCAATTATAGTATTTTATACATCTTGAGAAGATCGGATCACGCTCTGATGTCAAAATAAACCTTTTCACAGCAGACCTTTTAAATATTTGGTATGAAAAGCCCAGGTTTTACAAATAAGACTAACTCTGTTACACAGTACAATTTCCCCATTAAGTCATGACAGCGAGTCAACAGGCATAATACCAGGACCCCAAAACGGAATCAGCTAAGTGGAATTACCAATTTCTACCTTATTAACATCTGTGCTGTTCTCCAACACACTACCTTCTTGTTGTGTTTTGGAAATGTTTTCAGATTTTCTTATTGTTGATATGATTATTATTTTATGTTCATGTGTTTTTTCCCTTGACCCTGAGAGGATTCCTTAAACTCCCTCAAAGAGCAACGCTTTTTCACCAGATCTCTCCTTGAAATGAAAAATGACTTGGCGTGTTTCTGGCTCATCTTCTGGGAGAAGTTCAAAAGGCATTAATACATCCATCTATCTCTACAAGCTTTGTACAACTTAACTCTAAGTCTAATTTTGTCACTACTTACAGGGTCTGGCAGCTGATAATGGCTGCTTATGTGACACTGAAATTCGCCATCTTTCTCCCTGTTACTTTAAAGTGTCAGAAAGGAAGCACTTCAGCAAACTCAGCAGCTGAAGGTTAATTATGTGTCACTCATAGTCCATCCATGTGTTTGTTTTAATTCATTAAATGGAATGTGTCAGAAAAAATATCACTCGTCACCGGCTTGAGTTTCAATATCAGGATACATGTATTTATTATCCTTGCAAGAATGGAAGTAGTCATCACATACAGAGCATATGATACAACTAGTTCCCGAACAGTGTCCTTCAGATGCCTGATACAAGACAGGGTGTTACACAGTCACAAGATACATGTATACCGGTTCAAAGCAGTATTCTGGCATTAGTTCAGATTAGCTAAGGCGTGTATACAGTGTAAGCAATAAACATGACAGTCATATGCCTATCTCCCTAGGGGCTGTGTCATCATGTGTAATCGTTGGAACATAGCTATGTTCAACACAGTGTCTCATAAGCTTCTTCTGGTAATCATACATCCGGTTACGTACACAGTTACAGTTAGGCCTTTGTTATCATGTGCTACTCTGATATTGAAAGAGTACATTCAGTATTTTCCCAACAGAATGGAAATAATTCCTCTGGCATTTTTCATGTTAAGATTCAGCAGTACCACCTACCCATATTTGCATGCAGCAATGGAAAAGTATGATTGATGCAATCAGCTTTGAGATCTGGCTCAGGGAAACAAATATACAGATGGGTGACAACTTAAAGGAAATAACCATTATCCATCTTATTCGTAGGTTGCGTTCCAATTGTCAGTTAACCCTAGGAAAGTTTCTAACTGAGTGAAATGACCCGGAAGTACCCAAGTGGCAACCATGATAAGAGATAATGAATTCTCGAGATGATAGGAAAGGAGCTTTGGAACTTCCTTTATAACCTCCTTTAGCTTAGTAAACACTGGACCTTTCTTTACGAAAGGAAAGGAGAAAATGCTGCCCCAAAAGTGTAAGTGCAGTCGGATTCTCTGAAGCCCGGTCGTCTATTCCTAAATCATTTTGAAACTATTCCTTAACCCCGTGACGTTTCTCACAGAGGTCAAGAAATAGTGGTTAGGAAAAGAGGATAGGTGCGTTCTTTTGTGCAATTTGACCGCAACCCTAGTCCCATTATACCTTGTGAGAATGATGCACTTCCAATTATTCCTTTACTAAATGTGTGTCTATGAGGGCGACAGGTGCTTCCTTTTCCTGAAACTTTTTGGGAAATAAATGATGTGCGAACACTACCTGTACCTGTCACACTTCAAATGGGATAATGTGATCCTCCTTCTACCAAGGGATTGGGTTGGGGGGGCTAAGCTACAAATAAAGCGGATAAAGTGTATTAAAGCAGCTTTAATGCTAGCTGTATAGATTATTGAAACCTTTAGAACTACACTAGAGGGATCTTCATGATTCTTTTATAATACAATGTTAACAATTATGAAAAAGACAGATCTAGGAGTGCGATTGTGAAGCAGTTTAAGGTAAACGAAAGCCTTTAAAACCACATATCGATTTTATCCATGTGAGACGCTTGTAAACGCAGGTGTGTGAGGGGCTAATGAGACCCCCTGTTAAGCTAACAGCACTCACTTGGACACCAGGGAGAAGGCCTCTGCGCAGACAGCGGGAGATGGCACCAGCTTTATCTTCACGTGTTCTGCGGCAGCCTGGAAATGTCCCCGTGTTACCTTCTCCAGCACGGAGGTCAGGGTGTCCACATCTCCAGACTTTGAGCTCGGGTCTCCACCTGCTGTGTCCAAAATGTTCCCCCCATGCACCACTAGCAGCAGCACATGCGTCTTGCATTTTCTCTGCAAAAGGGTTCAGGTTGTAAAAAGGAAAAACATAGGAAGATAAAAGAAGGAGTGTTCAAATCAAATCAAATCAAGTTTTATTTATATAGCACATTTATAAACGATTTTTGGTCGAGCCAAAGTGCTTGTTACATATCAGAACTGTGGGTATTTGTATAGGGTCTGGGCTTCATAATGATCCTACCTCTATATCCTCCAATCCATCAATGCTGCTCTGAGGGGCACAGCGAGGACCTCCCAGCTGGTAGAGACCCTCTGCATTAGATGAGAATCAGGAAATGGCAGGAAGGAAGGAAAGAGGGCAGAATAAAGAGAGAGAAAAGGGGAAAAGAAAGCGTCACTGCAGGAGCCACTTCAGCCAGATGCACCAGTATCAGAATCATAAATGGATATTGATCAGTAAATATGGTCAATATAACTAATGGCTCTTCATCTCTCTTCATTCCTACTCCAAACTGGGTGATGGGTCTATGTGCCCTTAGGCTTAAATGGCATAAAAATGTGATTCAGAAGTCAATACAGGGAGTAAACATAGTTGTTTCACTGCTGCGGCATCTATAGCCATCACATGTTATTGGGTTTTGGCTTCTCAGGCAGAAACAACAATGGACTTATTTTCTAAAGACTAAGGATTGATTCGATTAGAAGCATCTCTCGCTTACTCTCTCTCTATGGTGCAGTGTTTCATGGGAATCTGGCCAAACTGATTACCCTCTCCGGAAGCCCCTCTATGCTGTCATATTATTCCTGAGCTCTCTCCTGTCTCTCTTTCTATTTCTTTCTCCAGGCTCAAGTTGTTGTTTACTTGGCTTCCTCGTCTGGGGCCGACTGTCATGGGAGGATCTCACAGGCTCACACACAGTCATCTCCCTTCTACTCCGTTTCCTAGCCCACAGCTCTGCCTCCGTCAGCCTGCTTGTCTAGAACAGCTCAGCATGCACAAGGGACTTCAGCACACTGCACTATTTTGGTCACAAAGTAACAGAAAATCAATGGAAGCAGGTTTTCTTTCTTCTGAAAGAGCAAGTTAGGGCACACAAATTCCGCCAAATGCCGTGTAAAGTATTTAAGAGTGGAAACTGTGTTGTGGGTTTTCACAGTGAGCTGAAAAACTAGTTTGAAAAGAAAGTGGGGGTTGTTATATGTTTACTGTGATTTTAGAAAAACAAAGACACTGTTGGACAAGTTTTATATTGAGCAGCAACAATTATAACAATAATTGTAGCTTAATGTGTGAAAAATAACTATATCTCAGCTTTTGGGGACACCAAACTATTTTAGCGACATCCAGCGTAGTGAATTTCTGAAACTCATACTAATATTTAAGGATCATAAATCAGTTGTACCTTTCACTTTAAAGTAATCATGTTCATTAAGGGCTATACAAATATGTTCATATGTAATCACATATGTAATCACAAGAAACTATGAGAATTATATAATAAAGAAGACACTCTCTTAAACACTGCCAATTTGAAGATCCCTTAATCTTAATAAAATTCACTAGAACATGTTCTGTCTGCCAATCTGTATCAAACAGCTGCATTCAGCAGATTGTAGGAAAGACAGTCAGAGGAAGTGGCAGAGCTTCGCTCACCTCATCATTTGTGTGAGTAGCACACATGGGCTTCTAGTGGATCCAACTATAGATAAGAAATTTCTCTGATATTGGAGGTATCCGACAAAATCTGTTGCCTAGGCTCAGTACAATAAACCAGCTTCCTGCAGTTTCAAGGCCGATAGAAAAACTATTCTAACAATCCATAAGATCATTTTTTTTTTTTATTTCATGTGCTTTCCCTAAGATGCTAATTCCTGACAGTCAATACGTGCTTTATGAAGCTTAGTGGTAGTTAGCAGCTGTTTATCAGCCCCCATTCTCTTCTAATAATTGACCTTACCTAGAGAGCACCCTTTTGGAAAGGCAACAATGGCGCAGTTCAGCAGCCTCATGGCCATTTCCAGTGGCTCAAAGCCCAGAGAGGCACACACTCACTGCAGGTATACAAAGTGCATCTGTTATGTACTGCAGTCTAAAATATTTGTAAGCTTATCTATGAGAGAGAAAGAGAACATTGGAGGGGTTGTGAAGATGAAAAGGCTCTACATGGAAGTAGGAGAGTTGAATAAGAGAGGATGACATTGATTTATTGATCCAAGTCTGTTAGTTTACTCTTGTCATTCTGTCTGTGCAACTATGATACACAATGTAATCTCCCCATCAAACCAAGGGTTGTCTTTTTGCCACGTTCATGTTCATGTTCACGTTCATGCCACGTTTTTATTATTTGTTTCCTCTCAGATTTTCGACCACAGGCAAAAGCCTGCATTCATCATAGGGGAAGATGGAATATTTATCTTACCAGGGAATACAAACATGAATAAATTGCCTGAAAGTTTCCTGCCTGCTGGAGTGTGAACTGACTCATTAGAGAGCTACAGTGAATTATTAGTTTTCCTGGAAAGACACACAAAGAACATACATAGTACATAGTACATAGTACATAGTTGTGGAATGATTATCAATATAAACAATATGGTGTTAGACATATCATATTTCCTGTAATCAGAGGGCAACCAGCTCTTTACATTATGGCATGGAGTATCTTTATGGAAATGACCTGCTGTGGTCATAAGTTGGAGCACCTCTTGACCTCTATGCCAATCATTTAATTTACATGACTGTTATGCCCCACCCTTTGGCAACTCTAGGAAGCAACTTTCTCACCAACAACTGTCCACCCAACCAAAATATATCACAGAAGAAACCTCTTAATGTCCAGATCATAAGCACTCGTTTGACAAGTCTCTGAAAAACATCACTTCACTGAGCATGTCATTTGCACTCCAGTCAAGAACATAACAAAATATGCTAAGTGCACCCAGCACTGCAACCAAGACTCCTCTTCAAGGCTCAATGTGAAGCGGCCGATGTATTATCCTCATAACTTTATCAGCAACATAAAGTGCATGCTAGAAACACACAGTGTCCACGGATGTAAGGAATGGATGCAACCGATCTTCATGGATGGAAGAAAAGCAATCTATTTTTGTAACAACAAATTGTGGAATTCTTTACTTTTTTTGAGAAAGGTCCCCAGTCCCCGAGCACATGTTGATTGCATGGGTTACAGAACCATAAGAGTTTCTATACTTAAGATATATGTAAATAATTTACCTGGTAAGATGATAGACATTTTAAAAAGGGAGGTGAAGAAGTCATGTATCACTTGATTGGAAAGTGTGTCATGTTAAGTAGCACAAGGTTAGGGATCTCATTTGGAGGTGCGCTGCCTCCTGACTGGCTAAACATCCCCCTCTGACCCCTGGCACGGTGCAGGCATGCTAACACACTCAGCCATCTGCTCACTGCTGCTGGAATCAGAGTATGTTGTGTTGCCCTACTGCGAAAAGACCCCAGGAGACGCCACCAGCTCCACTGCATGACAAACCTGCCGACACACACACATGCACACAGCACAACTCACTCATAGACATTTATACATTCAGTGAAACGCACACACAGTCTATCGCTAACTGATCCCAGCTGCGCACTGTCTACATGCTGCTGTACTGCAAGATGTCCTCCTACACACACTCAACAAATCCTTCTAAAACAGTTTGTATCTTACGAAAAGTAAACATTATTGTACGTTGTCCTATACATTTCCAGCAAGACGAGTGAGCAGGGTGCCAACGTAACCCCCTGCATCTTAAATAAGTAAATGTTGACTCGGACAGAGCTCTCCACGGAGGGGAACGTTTTTGCTATCCATTCAGACTTCCTCCCTGAGACGCTCTTTAAACTACGCCCCCTTACTTGTTTAAAGGCAGCTATGCAAGTCCTACAGATATGAATATATGAAAATGAGTGCCTTACTTTTCGTAGATTTAAGTATTGTGAATGAGAACAGCTAGACACACACAAATACAGCCGGTGTAAGTTTGGCAAGAGAGGCTCATTCAGTGCCTGTACCAAGGGGCATGCTGATCTTATATTCACCAAGCACCCTGGAATAAACATGTTTACAAATGTACCCTGAAATGTCATGTGAATAATTGATAACTGGTTGTCGCCCAAAACACTTAAGCTGGAGGTAAAAAACTAAATGTGAGAAAATAAAGACAGGAAGAATAGTTCAATGATTACTGGATTATTATCAGTGAAGTCAATACGCTAAAGGGTTTTTGAAGGATTTTGGAAAAGACAATTGTTAGCGAAGTAGTTTCTAATGATATAGCCCAAGGTCACATTTGTCTAAGAGTGGTTAATGGCTTTTGAAAAACACAAGTTACTATATCCTCAGACCTTTAATTCCTATAAGGAAAACTGCGCAAATAAATTACACTGATTGGAAATAAGAGCAGAAGTAAATTATTATGTGAAGCACTAGATGAAGGAAAGTAATTAATGCACCACATCACAGAAAGAAGTAGCTTAATGGAAAGACACAGTAAGGGTTTAGGGGCAATTGGCCTTTTTCTACCTCGCTACAATGACGTGTTGTAAGGCAATTCTGCAGCACATAAACACTTATGACCACAATCAATCAACATTTCTAAAGGGTTCAAGGGAAGTTTTGCTGACATAGGTGGCTTTCTGCACGTGTGTGTACCCTTTCATTTCAAACGTCTCTTCCCCCCATCTCCCATCCCACTCCTCCAGAGCTCCAGGCAGCAACAGAGTTGTTTGGGTGTGATTATATGCTCTCAAAGTGGGAACACAGCATTTCTTACTTTATATCTTGTCAGAACCACATACACACAGAAACGCAGACATGCACACACTTACTGTAATAGTCAGCACATAGAAACCGACTGTAAACATAAAAGATGAGGCAGATAGATACTCCTGACATCGAGTCACTTGTTATCATTTTCTCACCTCTCCCTCTTTTTGTGTGCTGTCTCCTATTATAATTCTGCTACTTTTATCTTTGCAGCCGTTTTAAGTATTTTAGTTTTGTTTTCGAGAGACAGCCATGCAAGAGAAACCTAGACGATTGTGCCTTTGTGAAGACCTTGTGCTAAATATGACCAAGGAAAGGTGATGTGTGTAATACAGATGAGTCTCTATCTTAAATGTATTTTTTCTTTCCACTTCTCTCTCCGCATGTGTTTCTGAATAGAGCCACAGGGTGCATGAAGAAGAGAAAGCTGTGGCACTCCACAGAGAATGGATAATACATGTCTCTCTGGGTCACTGGAAACTACATTCTCACAATAGAGGATATTATGTATGGTTTGTGTTGGGT